TCGAGATTCTCCACCGTGGCGATTTCGCTGAGGGAGTAGGCGGCCACCACGAGATCATGCTGGATCACTTCATCTTCCGGAAGTAAATACCGCTTCCAAATCACGTTTGGCACGTCGTCATGCAGCACCATGGTCCCAATCTCCATCATGCCAGGGCTGGGCTCAACAGCAGTCACCTCCTGCAGAGGTCGAAGACGTTTGGCCGCCCGCTGCTGCGCCGTCTCGCTTTCCAGATCAACGAATTGTTCCCACCACGTTTTTTTGTGTATACTACCGCCATCATGCAGTTCATCGTGTTCCTCGCCATCCATGACGTCGTTTGGGTCCTCGAGGTTCGCGTGTTCGACGTTAAGCGGATCCCCGCTTTCCCACTCTGTCCCATCCACAACGTCGCGGTGACGCGCGTGAGCCTCCCGCGAGAGGCGCTCTTTTTTGGCTGCTGCCGCTGCCGCCGCCACCTCGGCAATTTCTCTTCGCAAATCTTCTGGCAGTTCCGCCGGGTCCACCTCGCCCCGCTCCAGCAGGGCTGCCACAGCCATGAAACGTACCTTCTTTTTCTCGGCGTTGTTACGCTGAAGTCGTTTTAAATCATAGCGCAACTCACCCAGTTGGTGAATACGGGAGGACTCATTTCCTTGCATTGTCTGCCGCAGCGAGCGGTACAGCGGGTAGGCGAGTGCGCCGGGGTCGTAGACCTCCTTCGCGACAAGTGTCGCCGTGCCGGTACCGGCGCCAAAGTCCAACATCGTCTTGGGAACAAAGTGTGGGAGCTGCTTGCTAAGCTCAAAGAAGACACGGTGCATCCCCGCGTACATCGCCGCCCCACGGAAGAGAAAGTACCCAATGGCATCATCCGCCGAGTAGAGAACAGTGCGACTCGCCACCGCATTTGCCACTGCTAACTGCCGTTGAAATTTCAGCAAACGTTGCCGTATTTTAAACCGAAGTTTTGCTTGTGAGCGTTTGTCGTGTAAGCGAAGCTCCGCAAAGTTCTCTCCCTTTTCACGGCGCTCAAACAATTCCCGCTTCTTCTGATTCAGTGTGTCCGGCTCGTTCTCGGGTATCATTTCGGCTGCATTTACTTGCAGCCGCATCGGCTCCTCGCGATTTCGGTACTCAATAACTGGAATGATGTCGCGCATGCACTGGCGGATGAGACCCTTATCCTTCAGCCGAAAGACTTTCATGAAGGCTGCCTGCATCGATGGCGACATGACGACAACGCCGGGATGCATGTCGCAGAAGTCATCACGCACGGCCCATTGACGCATCGATGGCCGGCGTTTACACATCTTTCGCAGCATCTGGTACTCGTAAGACATTTTGGCCGCCACGTCAATAACTCGAATACGACGACGTCCGTGCCGCATCTTCGCGCTAAACTGCGACCATGTCTCCTTCCCGGCAATCGTGCTGCTTGAGCCTGCCTGTTGTCCAGATTCCCCGGGCTGATGCATGGCCCCTTCCCGCATGTGATGACCACCCTCACTGACTGTGGAAGATGACGACAACGAGGAGAGCAAATTCCGCTGATTGAGTTGTGCTGCCGAAATGACGATGGGCGAACCCCGCAGTCGAAACACCTGCACAAGACGGCAAAAGCGAATACACATTCTCTCTTCAAATCTCACACAATCTCTCTGCCCTAATGAATCCTCCTTGCTATGGTGGCGTGTCCCCGTGCTTCCCCTGGCGCTGACCAAGGGCGAGAGGTGGGCAACAAAGAGTGAGAAAAGAGACAAACAAATGTAAGGCGCAAGTGAAAAAAGAAGGGAGGGGTAAATTAAAAAAAAAAAAAAAAGAAAGTTTAAATAGCCAAAAGGACGACGTAAGCAACAACAAAAAAACAACAACTAGCAAACAAGAATGACGGGAAAGAAATATAAACGCCGCCCCCCGGAATCGCGACAGGAGAGAAAGAAAAACAACAAAAATAGCAAAAACACACACACACACACAAAAAAAAAAAAAAAAAAAAACGAAACAAAGCACGTGAGTCACGCCAAAATCATTGGTATCAAAGTAAATGCCACAATATTGTGCCGTATGCTCCCTCCACGGTTAAAAGAGATAAGTCAAAAATTAAAAAAAAGAAAATACATTCTGCCCGCCCACAACTGTATGTACTGTACACACTCCTCTAACGAGGTCAGTTCCGTTTTGCTTGATTTGCCACAAATTTAACACTGGAATGGCGTCACGGTCCCTGAGCAATTGTTTGCATCGCTTTTGCAACGGTGACGCTGCCGTGCCGCCAAAGTTGAATCAGGAGAAGTGTCAATGTGTCTTCAAAAACGCAGATATTGTCACTTTTTTTTTTTGCCTGACGCACACCTTGTATGTTCCGTTGGCTGCCTTCCATTCT